ATTTACCTATTTCTCCTCCAAGGGGTGAAAGATTCTATTCATCTCAAGACATTGAGACCATGGTTTGATCTGTGCTGTCGTGTCCTTTCGGCAAAATACTTTCCCCTAATTGCTCTGGATAGCAAAGCATGCCACATGTCCCCAGTATGCTGTTCATTGTGGTAGCTACCAGCTCAAGAAATGGCCTTGCTTGTTCACTGGGCACATACCTATCAAGTTGCCAGCTTTGGACTGCAGCCTTTAAACATTTCAGTAAATTGGCAATCTTAAGTGTAAAATATGTATAAAACTGAAATTTTGAATTTTTTATTATTATTTTCACTTGAATAATGTATTCAAGTTCGTAGGAAGACAATACAAAGAAAATGAGATCGAACGTCCAGCAGAAAATCTTCTAAATTGTCGGTAGTTTTCTGCAGATGGATTCTCTATGGCACACAGAGTTCAGTTCCAAAACAGCAATCACTGTTAACAGTATCAGAATTTTCCTGCTGATGTTGTTTGGTCATATTTACATTCACAAGAGAACATCAGGATTAACAAAAATATTAAATTTGAGAAAGAAAATTGACAATCGTAAAAGTTTGTGTAAGACTTTCATACTGAATATCTCCAGTTTTGGTTTCTTGAGAAAAGATAAATCTTATCAGAGCATGAATTCATGACTGAAAGCACAAACTGAAAATAAAAACAACAAAACTTTGTGATTTTTATTTGTATTTAGCAAACAAAAGTTGAAGTATTAATATATTTATATCCATGTAAGTCTGTGTTTCATTCTGTTCACCAAGGATATACAGTAGGATCTTGCAGGCGTTTCCATCTGATACATGATTTATAAAAAGAATTCAAATTTTTTTAAACTAAGCATAAGTGAATAATAAGTGATGATTTTTATAAAGTATACATCGAACAGAAACAAGTTCAAAATCCTTTCTATCACACGATCAATTATTCAGGCAAAATACATTGTATTGTAGAAAACAGACAAATCAATGTCAAACTTGCAGCCATTTTTGATCTGTAGTCTCTGTTGTTACATGGTGCTGAATTTTGTGACGTCACAGCAATGGTTATGTGTAATACATAATATGACATTCAATGACCAAGGCAAGGTGATCAAATAAATTATCAAATTTATAGCGATAAAATAAGCTGAGTAAGTGGAACTTGAGGATCTCTTTTCAAAAGGAAAATACTTGTTAATTACAATCTATACTAACTGCAGAAGATATACCCAGTATGTAGAAACAAATCCATTAATACCTGCCAAAATCTTCTGAGATTATTGTCCAGTTCTTGGTTTCTGTCCTGTATTTTGTTGGTTTCTGTCCTGTGTTTTGTTGGTTTCTGTCCTGTATTTTGTTGGTTTCTTGGTTACTGTCCTGTATTTTGTTGGTTTCTTGGTTACTGTCCTGTATTTTGTTGGTTACTGTCCTGTATTTTGTTGGTTTCTGTCCTGTATTTTGTTGGTTTCTGTCCTGTGTTTTGTTGGTTTCTGTCCTGTGTTTTGTTGGTTTCTCCTGTATTTTGTTGGTTTCTTGGTTACTGGACTGTATTTTGTTGGTTTCTGTCCTGTGTTTTGTTGGTTTCTCCTGTATTTTGTTGGTTTCTTGGTTACTGGACTGTATTTTGTTGGTTTCTGTCCTGTATTTTGTTGGTTTCTGTCCTGTATTTTGTTGGTTTCTGTATTCCCCAAAGAATCCATTCTACAGGAGAATTACCAGCTATACAGATTTTCCTGTATTGGGACGCTGGATCCTTTTTCTGTTATAAACTATAATAACTGTAAACCCACAGTAATACACACCAAATATTTGTCTCCAATACTTCTTGTGAACATACATATATCTTAATGCTTTTTGTGCTGAAAAATATTGTACTAAAATAATGCTAAATCATCTCTGTGCTAATCTGCCAAAAATAATAATGTTATATTGCCCCAAAGTGCATTTACAGTATCTAGAAAATGTTAATGAGAATCATGGTGTGTTGAATTTGCTAAAATGGTCAAATGTAACAAATGTCCAGAAATTTTTGTAAGATGTTTTTTTTCGAGAAGTCCAGAATGCCATTTCAACAAGTTTGGTTGAGTCCCATTACTAAAGAGATATAACAGGTTTTCAGAATCTGACTAAGAGCGTCCCACAAGAAAGCTTGATTCCAGGACTAAAATATCCGAGTCCAAAAACTACCCTTTAACCTTGACAGATGACCGCATCAATGTTGTTTAAGTTCTTTATGTTACGATTTGTTGGATAAATGTGAACCAAATAAGAAAAGAATTGATCGTTGATGACATGGAATAGAGGAACATGGATAACACTATATGTTCCCCGAATAAAACATATAGAACCCAAATGGAAGCCATTTGACAAAACAGCTCAGCTTTATATTGTTTATTAATATATCTGTGTAATTTGAAGAGTCACAATCTGAATTTAGATACAGTGTGTGCAGATTATTATTAAATGACTTGAACTGGAATTATTGCCATTTACAATTTTCCGAATCATTTAAGTGATTGAGAATTTCCTTTTTGTGTATGGAGTAAATCATAGACTGAAAACATCTATGAAACACTGTATGAGGGTTTGTAGGTTCATGGAACATTTCTCTGATGTTCTTGAAAATGTTCTATGAAACTGTTGCCCATCCTCATGAATATCAATATGTTTATAAATACACACACAACAAAATGTATTATTCTGTAGAATAAACTGTGATCAATCTACCTCAAGTTCAGAACTCGTAAAAATAAAAAAAAAAAAAAATTCCTGAGACAAAATTTCTGAAAAGACAAATTTTCCATTATAGGACCCAAATTTTTTTAGCAATAGAGTTTTAAAGAACAAATGAAAATAAATAGTAGATTTAATACCAAATTAATGTTACCAGAATATACAGATGTGACACTAATTCCCCTCATTGTAATAGTAATTACTGTGATAAGGAGTTCTTTAGAAATGAAGGTGATCTTAGAAGTGCCACTGGTGGAACTCTGTAACAATCAACAACTACTATAAATATCAAACTACTGGTGGTCATTTTGGAATGTTTTCTTCAGGTTGGTCAATAGAATGAAAATTCTTATAACACAACCAGTAGAAGATTACAGTGTTATGTTTTAATAACTACCTTCATAAAATGTTGTTGCAATTTATCAATCTAATTTCTTAACATATTTTTTATAACACAACCAGTAGAAGATTAGAGTGTTATGTTTTGATGACTACACAGTCACCTTCATCTTATAACACAACCAGTAGAAGATTAGAGTGTGATGTTTTGATGAATACACAGTCACCTTCATCTTATAACACAACCAGTAGAAGATTAGAGTGTTACGTTTTGATGACTACCTTCATAAAATGGTTGTCGCAGTTTATCTATTTAGTTTTTTTAATATTATCTTATCTCCTTGTGTATCTAATTCACAATAATTTCTACAAGTCTATCTAAATCAATAAATACAAAGTATTAAACATTGCAAAAAAAGTGAGAGATTTTTTCATCAAGTTTGTTTCTTTCAATTCTGTTTTGAATTTAATGTTTCAACTTTACCGGTCTTTATGTAATGAGGTACTTTTTTCTGTATAATATTTACAGAAGTAGACAGATTTGATTTTCATCTTTTCACACACATATTCTAAAGCCATATGCCCCTGAAATCTTGCAGTATATTACAAAAAGTGATCACTTCTGAACTCTGGCACAAAAGATTCGACGAAGGGAAATAACTTGTCCACTACCATTATAAATAAAATAGTTCTACGTTTTATTTACACAGAGTACTTATAAACATTCCCCAGAATTGTTCACCCATTTAATTATAAAATGTAATGAGAAATCATCCAACATCACAGGATATATATATATCTATATACAGCAAAGCTATACAATCCATGCACTATACATACAAAATGTAATTTGGTAAAAATCCAGCACTCCAAAAGTCAAATTATAAAAGTGCTATTATTTGACCAGAAAAATGAAGACATTGACATAATGGAAGCAGACACTTCTGGGCCATTTTCATTTTTCGGTTAAACCAGCTGGACCAGCGTTATTTCTGGGCCATTTTCATTTTTCGGTTAAACCAGCTGGACCAGCGTTATTTCTGGGCTATTTTCATTTTTCAGTTAAAGCAGCTGGACCAGCGTTATTTAAGAATTAAGGATGGACCAGCTGATCTCATTTTGCTATCTGATGAGCTTTACTTGAGCTTTACTGGGCATGTATTAATATTTGCAGACCTGCCTGGATTTATGTCCAACATGCTATATTTGAAATGTTGACGACAAACCAGTTTGCACACATAAATGAATGAGCTCCAGCACTGTTTCTGAAATTTAGTGATTCTGCTGTTCAAGTAAAATGTCTTGACTTGCTCCAATACTGGGATAGGATATCTGAGAGGTTGGAGGGTTAGATTTTTCATTAAATCCACAACAGAATATATATGTATTACTTCAGCACTTTCACACAACACTTCTTGTCTCCTCAGTCTGCCGTTAAGGAATCTAAGATTTTACAGCGAGTTCCTCTCCCACACCATGGATCACAGTACTTTAGCACTTTCTAACTGTACTTCTTGCAATTATCACCTCAGTTGTCTATTTAGATATCCTAATTTCACAGTGAATTTATCTCCCGTACTGGAAACAAATATACTCTGACAATTTTTCACTGTATTTCTTGTCTCCTCAGTTGTCTATTTCGGAATCCTAATTTCACAGTGAATTTATCTCCCGTACTGGAAACAAATATACTTTGGCACTTTCTCGTAAAAAACATTAGAATGATCCTTTGTTAATATTTCTGAAGTGACATGAACTCCACAAATATAAAATTCCAGGCGGACTGTGCTCGGGGTTACCGTTTCCTAAAGTTTTTTTCTTGTCTTCTCATAACACAGTAAACGTCTGTTCAGGTCTTCACATTTCTGCCTGTACGTTTTGTACACATATTACTTGAGGGAAGTTATAAAAAGCCCTTCCTCAGCTTGATATACTTGGGTTCATCTTGATAATCCAATCCACAGTTTCCATCAACACCACCATGTTGTAATGGCTGAAAGATGTAAAGCAAGGCAAAACTTAGTATATAAGGCGACACATAAACCATTAAATACAATAAAAGGGAGATTATTGACATCAATCAAAGAAATTACTCCTTTCCAGATATTCTCACAAAACAACAAACATAGTCAAAGGGAGACGATTTACCTGGTGAGGCAATGGAGACTACTATGACAAATGAAGAAAAAATATTTCCTTCAAGATTTTCACAAATAGATACAGTTAAAGGGAGATAATTCATGACGATAGAAAAGAACATATTCCATTGAGATTTTCTCTAATTCATTAAAACACTGAATACAGTTAAAGGGAGGTCATTTATGACAATAAACTTTACTCTGATGAGTGAAATCTATTATCAGATCAGATTTGACTTGATTTCAATATTTCTCTAATGTCTGCCATTTCAATACAATGTGCTATCCAGTATAGCAGGCCGAAACTGATGTTAGAAACTAAATGTCAAGTTGCCAGGATTTATTATGTCCATTCCTCTAGAGTAAGCAAAAAAGGCTGATAATATTCACTGTTGTTAATAAATTGTTGATAGTACATCTTAATCAAATCTATGCTGACATTTTCTGTATCACTCTAATATCTTGTTAAGATATCACATTACTGTGCTGTAGTTGCCTTGAAGGTTCAACATGTCAAGGTTTAATGCTACTAACAAGAAGACCACTTTTCTTATTGTTTTAACCAGTTGGATCAAAATTGTTCATTTTTCAAATAAGGACAGCCCAACTAATGTTAATTTGCTTTCTGTCAAGCTTTGAGTAAGCCTTTAAGGCCTGTATTAGTATGAGATGGTCTGTCCTGATTTATGTCTGAAATGTTACTTTTAAAGTGACATTGGATCAGTTTGTCTGCAAAAACAAACAGGACAAAGTGTTTTGTATTAAAAGCACATTAAATTGAAATGTGTGTTTCATGATGTATGTCATATCTGAGCTTAAGTGTAGCAACCATAGAAAACATCCAACTGAATTGAAATACCAAACCACCAAATACACTTCAAGGGAGATAACCTACAATCATAAATTACTCATGGGACACGCTTTTGTGTAAGCAGTTGAAACAGTTGAACCTGTAAGAAACAGGAACAGATCTGGACCGAGGCTGGACTGCGGATTATTTGGCATGTGTAGATTGAGGAGTCCTGCTGTTTCTGTCCCGAAACTTGCTGAATATCATTAGTTTTCAGGATTTCAGCAGAAAGCAAGGTTGGTGTACTCCGATATTTCTGGAACCATTCTGCTATTAAGTTTGGGTGAAATAGATGGTATCTTAATTCTAATTGTCTTATGTTTGACAGAAAATTCAGAAACTGTATATTTTACGCTCTACATATATCAGTTCCAACATCTGGAACATGTGTATTCCAGTATAATGGAATAATTCCAGACCACCTGAACCATTTTAACTGGATTACATGAAAGTGACCTAAATTAACTCTGTGAAATGGTAATCTACTTTCCCTGCAACCATACAGATAAAGGGAGATAATCAATGACAAACCAGGCCTTCATTATAAATCCTATAACAGATGAGAAATCAACCAAGTAAATTCTTTTCTTTTTAAAGACAGGTTGCACAACACATAACTTTTCTGGCCAAATTCAAACATTTTCCTAGGAGGCATTCCATTTCTTATAAGTATGAATTAAAGACTTCTTCAACATTAATTCACAAGAATATTGAGAATATTTCCATACTTTCTTACAGTTTCTGGTGATTAACACATATCTACCTGGCAATGCCCCTAAATGTACGCAGCCTTTTCTCAAAGTCTTTGAGAGCTGCTGTAGTGATGAAATCTCCAGCACACTTGCAGTACTTTGTCATGTTTCCCTCTTTTACCTGACAAAAACAAATAAAACAAAGAGTTATGATGTCAGTAATGTAAAACATGACTTTTTTCTTCAATATTAAATATTTCAAACAGCATATTGCTTTTTACTCATCAATTTCATCTAAATGGCTCTTATTTTTCTCTTTATTCTTTTTCCTCTATCCCAAAAACAACCCCCCCCCCCCTTTTTTTTTACTGTACTATGACTTTGTTGAAAAGAATACTCTTCCATTCAACACTGCCCTAATACCTCTCAATCCTCCAGAAAGATCTCATCCTTTTCCTACTCTATGACTTCCCAATTATCGCTTATTGTTGTCCCCACATGCTCTCTCCCCAACCTCTCCCTACCCTCTCTATGTCCATTATCCAATCCCTCTTACTCCTGCCCCATCTCATTACCCTGCCCATAACTCACCCCTGTCTCTATCTACATAACCCCTGCCCCCATCTCCATTACCCATTACCCAGCCCTTGACTCACCCCTGCCCCACATTTCATTACCCTACCTCTGACTCACCCCTGCCCAACATCTCATTACCTTACCTCTGACTCACCCCTGCCCCACATCTCATTACCTCTACCCTTGACTCACCTCTGCCCCCTACCTCATTACCCAGCCTTTGACTCACCCTTGCCCCCACATCTCATTACCCCTTCCCTTGACTCACTCCTGCCCCCTACCCCATTACCTCTTCCCTTGACTCACTCCTGCCCCCCACCCCATTACCCCTTGCTATTGACTCACTCCTGCCCCACCTCATCCCCCAAACCCTGACTCACCCCTTGACACTTGACACATTTGAGGTCCTGCAGTATGTAGGCCATAGACTTGCGGTTAATGGAGTCGATGAGACATTGTTCCATCTCTGTCATATCATACGCTGACTTACATTGTACACAGGACCACGCCGCACTGTCACAATGAAATGTGAAATTATCATTTTCAATTTCTGGGAAAATCAACACTCACATATATGACTTCTGGGAAATATCATATAGCAGTCTGCCTTTTTGCTTGGATGATATTTTCTCTATATTTCGATACTTTGACATGATCACAAACTTTCCATCCATGAAATAATGAGACATGTATAACATGTCATTTAAAATCAAGATTTTAAACTTTTAATTCATTGAAATATAATTTGATTGTTAAATAAAATAAAAGAAAATTTTTACACGTGAAAATTACCTGTTCAACTGTAGTTTATTAAAACATTCATAAACACATGTTTCATATATATAATACAACACTATAACAAAGATTAAACAAAAATAAATTAGATTTGCAGGAACGACCTGAATGCTTGCCATCAACCAAGGAGAAGTTTAGAACTTTTTAGTGTAACTGGCTTTGTAAGAGATGATTCAAAGTTCTAACTGGGGGGGTTAAGCAAGGCTCTTCAATTTCAGTCTTTCTGTTTTTGTGAAAATTCTTATTAAAATCATAGCCATAACTTTGAATTTTTTTTTACGATAATCAAATCAGAACTTGACCTGTATATTATCATTAAACAACATAAACCATAATACAGTTTTATATCTGTATCTATCAGAAGAGCAATTGAAAACAACTATGACAAAATGACAGTCAAGGATAACATGATCGTAAATGTGAATCACTGCATTCATCAATAACACTGACATTTTTGAGTCAATGTTCACTATAAAGTGGATATTACAATATTGAGTGTACTGAAAAATGACAAAAAGTCAAAATGAAAAAAAATTTGAAAAAAATAAATTTTCTTGATAAAGTAGTTCATGTTGACTTACTTGGAGTCGTTGTGATTGAGGTAAGGATCTCTACAGAGGTCAAGGTCACGGACATGGTTACACGACTTGCAGATGACCTCTGGGAGTACATAGGACAAACAAGGATCAAGAAACTTGGCATCACTGGAGAATTCACCGACTCCGATCAGTTTGAGAAGATCTCGCTTCAGTTTTGTAATCTGTAGTGTGATGTTACAGTCCAAGGCCAACACCTGAGGGTGAAGATGAAATATGTGTCTCAACTCTAACAACAGATATGCTTAAACAACAAAAGTCAATGTCAAATTATGGAGGTCATGGTCAAAAAAGGAAGGTGAAGGTCAAACAATAGAGGTCAAAATCAAACAAGGAAGGTTAAACCCGTACCTGACAGACACACTTAACAAACTTCAGAGCAAGGTTTTTCAGTAGTAGATGCGAACCAGGTCTCTGTAGGAATTCTCTGTTATCAGCAGTCAATCTTACCTGACAAACACACTTGACGAACTCCAGGGCGGGGTTTTTCAGTAGTAGATGAGAACCAGGTCTCTGTGGAAATTCTATGGCTGCATTGTTAGTGTTTCCAGCCAGCTTCTTCTGGATCTTCTGTGTAATACTGGGTGATTCAAGATATATATAAACTAAGATGATAAAACTTAAGTCATAAAAATAATTATCTTAATGCAAAATGCTATAGAAAATGATAGGATTTTAACTGCCGTTGGTAACAAGTTTGATATTAATATAACAAGAGTGCCGTGGACACAATATACGCCACCACAAAATATAAAGTTCAAAACGAAAAATCGCCCCTTCATGCACATCTACCCATTGTAGTAGTGACATTTTTCGTGAAAATCTAATGATTATTTTAGGAGGAGTTGCATTCACAAGGCACCACTAAGAGCAAGCTACAGATACAAAGTTGAAAATGGCATAAATCTTACAAAAATCAACGAACAACAAAATTGCCCATTCATGCACATCTACCCATTGTAGTAGTGACATTGAGCAAGTTTCATGAAAATCTGATGATTAGTTTAGGAGGAGTTGTGTCACAAGAAATGGACGTACGGATGGAGAAGATGACACCAATAAAAGACCGCCTCTGGCGGCGTATAAAACAATCAACAACATAATACTGTATCAATATTATTGTTAAAAAAATACACATTTTCATAAATTGTTGTTTAATCTGTCTTAATTATAACAACTGTAAGCGTGTACACACAGAAAATCTTTTTGTCCAATGAATGGCCTTCTTTTTAAGTAGGCAAAACACCTGATTAATTTCAGGTGTGGAATGTTATTTATTTCCTTCAAACTTACGCAAACATCTGCTGAGCTAGATCGCCCGCTATTAGCTCCTGCGAAAATGTCACTGTGGCTGGGGTCGCACTTGTCTCCAGTGGTTTCTGTAGCCAATCAAACTGAATATATCAGTAAAACAGTATGCTGAACAAGAGGTGCATGGGGCCTGTTCCCATGATATTATTACATATAAACTGCATTTATACCAGTGATATCCACAGTGCTAACACTTAACCTCTGATTCAAAGTCACGCTTTTTACAGGACAATGAAAAAGCATTTGATGTTAATTCAAGGCTACTTTCCCTTAATCTGGCTGAAACAGACCAAGCGGTAGAGGGCGAAATCCAGTTTCATAACTTCAAATATGAAACAACGTACAAATGATAGGATACCTATCATTTCATTTCAGGAAATAGGTGTGTACACCGACACTGTTTTAACCAGAAACCCTGAAAACTTATAAAATTCAACCAGCATGTTATTTTTGTACACGTAAGGCTCTCCTCCTGTAAAATGCACAAGTCATGATTTTGGAAGTCCAGTCTTGGCCCTTGTGCCTTTCCTCTTTGCCAGTTCATGTGTTCAAAACATTTCAACTATTTATGCGAATGCGACCCTATTGAATAATAACAGATAATAGTGGGCTTACTGTGGGAATATGGTATTGATAAATCTATTAAAAGCCAGCAAATGGCTGATAGTATATCACTTACTCACAGTGGTTACATCAGACAAATTAGATACGAGGAAGTTTACATTTGTTCAGTTGTAGAGAAGTTTGGTCTACAGTTGACCAATTCTAGATCTGACCACTTACATTTGACCAGATCTGACCACTTACATCTGACCAGATCTGACCACTTACATCTGACCAGATCTGACCACTTACATCTGACCAGATCTGACCGCTTACATTTGACCAGATCTGACCGCTTACATTTGACCAGATCTGACCGCTTACATTTGACCAGTTTCAGATTTATGGTTTAGATTTGAGCTAGATTTAAGTAGTTTTAAGTCTGACAAGCATGAGATTTGATCAGTTTGTCAGAATTGACTACGCTCAGACTGACAAGCATGAGATTTGACCAGTTTTTCAGAAATGACCAGGTTATAACTGACCAGCTTGAAGTTTTTGAGATTTGACCAGGTTCTAACTGACCAGCTCGAAAGTTTTTCATTTTGACCAGGTTTTGACTGACCAGCTTGAAAATTTTTCTGTTTTGACAAGATTATGACTGACAAGCGTGAAAGTTTTTCATATAGACCAGGTTCTGATGGACCAGTTTGAAAGTTTTTCAGATTTAACAGTTTTATATTTCACTAATCTGTGATTTAAGCAATTGATGACAAACCTGTTGAGACTGTGACTGTGAGTTATGGCGACGTTTGACTGGTGTATTCCCTGGAGTAAGTCTTTGGTGTTCGTCCATGACATTGGTGTAAACCGACAGGATGTACCCCGCTACAATCATCTGTGATACAATGTCAGATGTAGAAGATCTCACAAATGTTTCCATTTATACAATTAATTAATCAGGTCTTCAAATTTTAGAAATTTTCAATGTTTTTCTGTTAAATTTTCCCGTTGAAAAACCATAACAGCATTCTAAAATCATAATTTATCATTGAACAATGTTGAAAAATATAAATGTCAAAATTTAACGTGCAAATGGTGTTTTTAGATATATATATTTTTTCAATGTTGGAATGTTATGAAATATTAGTTTTGTACCAGATTTATGCATTTTACTGACTCTAAAGTTTTATAAAATGAAATGTACCTGACAAGTTTCAAAATCTCATATTAAATGTAAATGAACATCAGAGTTTGTTTATCACAGAACTAAGATGTATGACGCTTTGTGATTGATCTCCAATAAGAATTCTGCAAGGTCACTCCTAATTATTTCTACTAACAAGCCTTTCTTCATGAAATATCAAACTGAAGCAGTTAATAAACAGAGACATTAAGCATTAAACGGCCCACAGTTAGAATTATAGGGCGTATTGATGCTGACTGTGTAACATAAACCACATTATCTTACATTAAAGTTTGTCTGGCAGGCTCCTGCCTCGGGTAGGAAATGCATTATGTTCCAGTTCATCTCAATCTCAGGCTGAAATAAACCAAACTTCATAAGATTTGAATTTTTCAAATAATACTGTTTGGTATTCACAATGAGAGGTATAAAACAAAATCTTATACCTTTTTATCAACAAAATTATAATACCATCAATTGTTAAACAAGGTGTTTGTGGTGAAGGTGGTTCTATCAATAAACAAGGTATGACAGTTTCTCAGATTTTAATTGTTTCTGTTTTCAGAGTAAAGCCTTTTCAAATAAAAGCACTTCTATTAGATACATATAATCTTTTTCAGTAAGAGTACCTCATCCTCTTCATCCGATTTATTCAGTTGCTCCTCTTCCTGTCTAACCTCCTCATCTTCACTATCTTGCTCTGCCTCACGGTCGGGATTGGGTTGAGAACTGTCTGTCATTGCTGCTGAAGGAAGACGTCCCTTCACTCCCCCATAGTTTGCCTGTAGACAGAAACATTGTAAATTTAAACCAAAATAAAATGCATTTTGTGTGTCCGTGCCAGGCCTCAATTTTCCAATCTGACTTTATTCTTTAAAAAAATCTTGATTGATAGACACTTGATTTACTTAATGTCTGGGGATAGATTCCCAGAACAATTTTCATTTGAAACCGTTATTTTTCATAAATACAAAACGATAAAAAAACCCACAAAAGTCACCCAAAAACAGAATTCCATTGTTTTTTGTTTTCAATTTTGATAAATACAGAAAACAAAATGTTGTATGTGAGAACTTCAGTGTAAATTCATGGTTTTGTGATCCAGAAGTTTATGACCACACCAGCATCAGTTATACATTTACGTTAAAATTTTAATGTCACGTTTTGGGCCTAAATCAGGATGGAATTGTTGGGTTTTAATACAAGCCTCAAAGGGCTTCATCAAGGCCTCTCAGAAAGCAAAATGGAGAAGTAGGCTGATCTGTATTTCAGGAGTAAACAAATTTAAGTCAAACTGGTCCAAATGGGCCCCTTGTAACAGACTTACAGGATCAAGCCACATACAGTATTCCCAGCATTGTTCATAGGAGAGTTCAATCAAGTGGAACAACTCTCGGGACTTAATACTGTTGGTGATATACTCCACATAGGATAATGCGTCCACCAGGCGTCGCTTCTTTGTACACAAAATGATTCGATTAAAGTTGGCATACACTATGGTGGATCCAAGACGCTTGAATTCTGCTATTAACTGTAAAACAATATTTCCTTTTGTCTTAAAAAGTAAAACTGTATCATTTGTAAAGTAATGTGTTCTTTCGTTTTAAAAAAATGTAACCGTTTCATTTAACACAAATTCTTTTGTATTAAAAAATGTAACTGTTTCATTTAACACAAATTCTTTTGTATTAAAAAATGTAACTGTTTCATTTAACACAAATTCTTTTGTATTAAAAAATGGAACTGTTTCATTTAACACAAATTCTTTTGTTTTAAAAAATGTAACTGTTTCATTTAACACAAATTCTTTTGTATTAAAAAATGGAACTGTTTCATTTAACACAAATTCTTTTGTTTTAAAAAATGTAACTGTTTCATTTAACACAAATTCTTTTGTTTTAAAAAATGTAACTGTTTCATTTAACACAAATTCTTTGATATTAAAAAATGTAACGGTTTCATTTAACACAATTTCTTTTGTTTTAAAAAATGTAACTGTTTCATTTAACACAATTTCTTTTGTTTTAAAAAATGTAACTGTTTCATTTAACACAATTTCTTTTGTTTTGAAAAATGTAACTGTTTCATTTAACACAGTGTTCTTTTGTTTTAAAAAATGTAACTCTTTCATTTAACACAAATACTTTTGTTTTAAAAAAAATTCTTTTGGTAACTATTTCACAAATTAACACAAATTCTTTTGTTTTAAAAAATGTAACTGTTTCATTTAACACAAATTCTTTTGTATTAAAAACACAGTGGTTTTAAAAAATGTAACTCTTTCATTTAACACAAATACTTTTGTTTCATTTAACACAAATTCTTTTGTTTTAAAAAATGTAACTGTTTCATTTAACACAAATTCTTTTGTTTAAAAAATAAAAAACAAATTCTTTTGTAAAAAATGTAACTGTTTCATTTAACACAAATTCTTTGGTATTAAAAAATGTAACTGTTTCATTTAACACAAATTCTTTTGTTTTAAAAAATGTAACTGTTTCATTTAACACAAATTCTTTGGTATTAAAAAATGTAACTGTTTCATTTAACACAAATTCTTTTGTTTTAAAAAATGTAACTGTTTCATTTAACACAAATTCTTTTGTTTTAAAAAATATTAAAAAAATTCTTTGGTATTAAAAAATGTAACTGTTTCATTTAACACAATTTCTTTTGTTTTAAAAAATGTAACTGTTTCATTTAACACAATTTCTTTTGTTTTAAAAAAATGTAACTGTTTCATTTTCTTTTGTTTTAACACAAATTCTTTTGTTTTAAAAAATGTAACTGTTTCATTTAACACATCAGCAGTTTCAAATATAAAATGAAAAGTAATGTAGGTTATTTTCCATAGTCAATGCAGAGTTATGTCCCTTGACTAGAGTGATGATCTATTCAACATCCAATGCTTAATTTAGAGGTATTGAAATTAAAACTCAAGAAATTATCTTCAGATCCTTTGTAAGATTGAATGATTAGATAAATATTAATTAAGAACAACACTGATCAAAATTTTTTGCAGTTATTGGTTATCTAGTTCAGGTTTTCAAATTTAACATTTTTACATTTTGTGATTTTACCTGCATGAAGACTTTCTTCATCATGTTGTGTAGTGTTCTTCTCAGTGCTGGATCATAAAGCTGAGCACCAGTGGAACGCAGCCACCTACAAGAAAACAGAGTGAACAGTGAGAAACATGCTGTCACTGAATTAGTTACCAACAAATTCAGAACAAATATCTACAGAGAAAATATTTCTTAACAACACTACTGAATGTCACTAAATCTTGATCACCAATATCTACGATGATGAATTGTTCTCCAGTATTCTAAACACAACAAAAGGAATGCTTGATAATGTCAAGTTCTATCGGAGATCTACTCAGACTGGATATTCAGTCTATACATTGTACGATTCCGATGAAAATTTTCCATGGTCTTTTATATCGTAGTCCAAAGTATATCCCGGGTACATGGATCAGAACTTGCACTTATATTTAATTAAAATCATCATGTATCAATGTCATGGACTTACAGTAATATAATACTGTTATTACCTGTAGAAATGAATGATCTGGTTGTCGGCAAACACATTTCCGTACATTGTCACATCCCTAACCCAGCCCTGAACCATGCTCTTCAGGATACGGAATGTTGTGGAGCAGAGCGCAGTATCATCGTAGCTGGCCAAATAGGTGGCAGCACCTTGTCCTTGCACCATATCCTCCAGTGACGACTGAGGCATTGTGTCGAAACTCACAGCGCTGGCTCCTTCTTGGTCATTGACGTGGGATGACTTAGAAACAGACATTGGGATCAAAGGTCAAGTCATGCTAATTCAGGTTAAAGGTCAAAGCATGCTACTTTTCATGTTACATTTTAATGGACTGGATTTGAAATAACTTTAAAGAATTAAAATTAACTTCAATAACATTAACAATATAATTGTTCTGATTAAGTTATATAGAATCTTTATATTCCATTTTAGGTTAAAACTGTAATTTCTTCAGGGTGCTGTATTAGAGAAGGAAGGGGATGGGGGTTGTATGGGCGGGGCTGTGGAGAGGCTAAGATTGAGAGTCTAAGATTAATACCTCTATAATAGTATTGACAGCCAGACTAGTGATGTCTAACTCAACACACACACTGGAGTAGGAGCCTGTATTGGTGAGGCTGTGGAGGGAATGTTGCATAGGCGTGGCTGTAGAGGGGCTAAGATTGAGAGTCTAAGATTAATACATCTATAATAGTATTGACAGCCAGACTAGCAATGTCTAACTCAACACACACACTGGAGTAGGAGCCTGTATTGGTGAGGATGTGGAGGGGCTAAGATTGAGAGTCTAAGATTAATACCTCTATAATAGTATTGACAGCCAGACTAGTGATGTCTAACTCGACACACACACTGGAGTAGGAGCCTGTATAGGTTAGGCTGTGGATGAGTGGGCTGTAGAGGGGCTAAGCGTGACAGTCTAAGATTAATACCTCTATAATAGTATTGACAGCCAGACTAGCGATGTCTAACTCGACACACACACTGGAGTAGGAGCCTGGGTTGTTCAATTCCACACTGCTATTCTCCTCCAGTTCCATACACAGCCTGACAAAACACAAAATTACCAGGATACAGATCTCTTCTAGAATTACAAATCCCTTACACTATTCATCAGATCAGTCAGAATCTTTAAGATATTTTTATAAATCACATGAATTCTGATTTAGAGTTGTATAAAAGGATGTGATATTCCCATCAAATCAAGTGCCAAGATTTAGTTATAGTTACAGAAACCTTCCTCAAGTCCATGGATATCCGTGATAATATACTACAATCATACACCAGACAGAATGACCTTTGACCCTTTGATCTTGATTTATGATGATAAAATCCTGGACAGGTTTAGCATTCTACGTAATGGTATCATTACAGGATATGAATTTAACCTGATATGAAGTTCATGAATTCATGGTTTATATTTCTGAAGTTGTCTAGTACGGTAAAATCGTTAAATTTGTTAAAGATTTATTCTTCGGAGTTCACAACTCTATATGTCTCCAAAATAATTAACAGGTAAAAATCAACATGGATTTTAGTATAAGTTTATTTTGCAATCAAAATTTATCCACGAAATTAAATGCCAATGAAAATGTAGTTTTTGGAAATCCACAAAGTTTGAGCCCCACGATAATACATGATTTTAAAGTTTGACCTTTGACCTTCATCCTTGACTGATTACCATCAAAATCTATCCTGGTGTAGCATTTCATACTATGATACTTCGGTCTTAATAAGAACTAAATCTAAATGGGGTTCTCGAGTAATTTTGTATGTAAATTTTTCACTTCAAACACACAAGACCAATTGATTTGTGATGACGATAAACTCCTCTTCATTAAATGTCAAAAATAATTACTTCCTCATGTTCAAGACGATACTATACACCCGATAATTGTCACAGGTCATGATTTCCTATTAGAAGGAATTAATTATATTTGAAAAATTAAGATTTCATCACCTGGTTGTTAAAGGACATCTCAAACACATTTATTTCATTAATTCCTCCACCAAATTTTTTGCTATCACGTCAATGTAATGCACAGTAGCAAAAATATCTCCCTCACAAAAACCACTGACAATGCGGTATTGCAAAGCAAATACATTCATGTCACTGTGAATGTTTTCATGCAGAAATGCTCTCATACAGATGTTGCCAAAATTCTATTTCATAATGCAGAACATTTTCTAAAGAGAATTACAAAAGTGGTCCTGGTTTGAACAAATTGACTTACCTGCTGTCATCGGCCTCCTTCCCTCCAAGGTCTGGTCGCTCGGTTACAGAACACCATAAGATGTGGTTATGTTTATGGAGGTGCCGCGCCAGGAACAAATCACAGCCATAGAGAGTGATGTCCTTTGGCATGTTTCCCATGGGAATATGGAGGTAACGACATTGTTCTACCATCGCCTGTTAACAGATCAGCTTGTATAACTATTGACCCCTAACACCAAGTCTGTCGTGAAACTATTCTGCATTTAGCTTTTTAAAGGAAAATATTCACAACTGAGAATACCATACTGAATTTTGTGACACAGGTGTTACTATTGAAAAATAAACATGGGATACCTATTTAAATTTATATTTGCAAATCTAATTCTCTACATTTGACACAAATTACTGAACTTCAACACAAGGTTTTAGTAGAAGAATGCTAAGGTGACAGAAAATTTCTTGTTGCTCCTGAGAGACCCGAACAAACAATGACACCATTTTGATAAGATCTCAGCTTCTCACTCACAATGTTTTTTTAAGCTGTATCGCTAACCAAGCTGATTTGATTAGGTCAACCTGACGTTGGGCAAAGGATTGATCTTGCTCAAATCATGAAAAATATTGAAACCAGCTGATATTTCTGGAATTTTGTTCAGTGTTTGAAAAATTTGTAATCAGATTTTGGATCTAATTTGGTCGACATAATGTTAAAACATAAAACAGAACATTATCAAAAAAACCTACATGTCAACATAATCATAATTCAAACTCAAATTCCATACAGCTAGGGTAAAATATGAACAAAAGAATGATCTACATGGAGATTTCTAAAAATAAGACCAGGTGTTCCAGAAGAGTAAGTGCCTTCTGCTTCATCAACACCAGCCAGATTTAATTTAAGTTTGGAATATGATTATGTTGACATGTTGGTATTTCCTTTTGTCTTTTGATTAAGTATAACTTACGTGGAGAATGATATCGACATTGAGGTAGTGTTGTAACATTCGTCGACTCCCAACTCTCTGCCAGTCTAGTACATTATATAGAGTTTCACTGAAACGACAAATCTCATTAATACAGCAAATTTCCTGAAGACCTTTTGATATTTCTTTGTTTCTTTCAATTTGTATTTCATAGCAATTGTTTTATTTTAATGACCTGTAAGAATGCCTTGGAAATACTTTTAATGATTAGAAGGAAAAGATGTTGCTTATATCAAGCGTTCATTCGTTCTTGAAGACTCTTGGTAATGTTTTGTCCTTTACGAGGCTTTTCCAGTAAAACATGATCTACTTGATCCTTAGACCCCAAAATAAATAAAATCTATCTATGATAACCAGCTGTAGAAGAAAGAAGAGTCGCTATTGGCCTACTGGGATTCAGCAGTTGATGTTCCTCTTGTTTATTTGTTTACTACTTTTTTAAGAAACCTCTGTATACCACTATAAGTATCCTCCTGAAGCCTTGAAGATGAATCTAAACACACATATGAACTAATCAGGATGTTGGTTCTTCAGAAATTTCTTCAGCTTGAGATTTTTATAATTTGAATAAACCTATCCATGGTTCAGTTTCCTGACAAGAACTTCAAGAGGAATAATACCAATATATAGTAAACAAAAGCCCTGGGGTGGGAGAGCTGTTTTACTGGAATAGCACTTAGCAACACCTGAAGCCCTGGGGTGGGAGAGCTGTTTTACTGGAATAGCACTTAGCAATACCTGAAGCCCTGGGGTGGAAGTGATATTTCACTGGAATAGCACTGAGCAATACCTGAAGCCCTGGGGTGGGAGAGCTGTTTTACTGGAATAGCACTTAGCAACACCTGAAGCCCTGGTGTGGGAGAGCTGTTTTACTGGAATAGCACTTAGCAACACCTGAAGCCCTGGTGTGGGAGAGCTGTTTTACTGGAATAGCACTTAGCAACACCTGAAGCCCTGGGGTAGGATAGCTGTTTTACTGGAATAGCACTTAGCAATACCTGAAGCCCTGGGGGGGAAGTGATATTTCACTGGAATAGCACTTAGCAATACCTGAAGCCCTGTGGTGGGAGAGCTGTTTTACTGGAATAGCACTTAGCAATACCTGAAGCCCTAGGGTGGAATAGCTGTTTTACTGGAATAGCCCTTAGCAACACCTGAAGCCCTGGGCTGGGATAGCTGCTTTACTGGAATAGCACTTAGCAACACCTGAAGCCCTGGTGTGGAATTGATATTTTACTGGAATAGCACTTAGCAACACCTGAAGCCCTGGTGTGGAATTGATATTTTACTGGAATAGCGCTTAGCAACACCTGAAGCCCTGGTGTGGAAGTGATAATTCACTGGAATAGCGCTTAGCAACACCTGAAGCCCTGGTGTGGAAGTGATAAATTCACTGTAATAGCCCAAAAAAGATCCTAGAATCCTGGGATAGGATAGATGTTGATATCATGGTTTCTTAAATTGTTATCAAGAAAATCCCTTTGGAAATGAAGAAGTTGAAACGCTGAGCTATCATTAATTTTGATGGTATAGGAGTCCCCCACCACTCAACCCCCACCACTCATCCCCCACCACTCATCCCCCACCACTCAACCCCCACCACTCAACCCCCACCACTCATCCCCCACTACTCATCCCCCACCACTCATCACCACTCAACCCCCACCACTCAACCCCCACCACTCAAACCCCACCACTCAACCCCCACCACTCAACCCCCACCACTCAACCCCCACCACTCATCCCCCACCACTCATCCCCCACCACTCACCTGTCAGAAATATGAACAGGTACCAGTGGAAAGTCTTGGAGACCAGGCATACTGGATGTCAGGTGTTGGAAATCTGAAATCAACAAGAGTATTAGTGAAACTGATGAATGCTTCCCAAAAACTATTTTATTGGGCCCAAAATCTAATCAAAGGGCAATAATTCTGTAATGGAGAAGTTGTGGGCCCTGAATTTGGTATAATGCACATTATCTTAGCATGTCTGATGTATATACCAAGTTTCAATATCTCCTAAATTATGCAAAAGAGAGTTATGATTCTTGTACACTGCACTTCTCTTTATCAAGGTCTATCTACCTATAAGTTATATGCTTTATGTTAATACCACTTATAGTTTTTGTGATATGCTACAGACAAAATTATGACAGACGGATGGACAGACGGATGGACAGATGGACACACATACGAAGCAGCTACTATATGCTCTCCCTTCAGGAGCAAAACATTGGTAACATATCATAATTAATAGTCATCCAATAATAATGCCATACTACTTCCATGCAACTCCATTTAGAAATGTCTACAAATGCTAATCAATGCTCTCCTGGTCAGGGTTTACATGTTGAGCCTCTGTACTTAATGCAGGATAAACACCCTGGTCGGGATATACATGTTGAGCCTCTGTGCTTAATGCAGGATAAACACCCTGGTCGGGATATACATGTTGAGCCTCTGTGCTTAATGCAGGATAAAAACCTTGGTCGGGATATACATGTTGAGCCTCTGTGCTTAATGCAGGATAAACACCCTGGTCAGGGTTTACATGTTGAGCCTCTGTGCTTAATGCAGGATAAACACCTGGTGGGGGTTTACATGTTGAGCCTCTGTGCTTAATGCAGGATAAATACCCTGGTCAGGGTTTATATGCTGAGCCTCTGTGCTTAATGCAGTATAAACACCTGGTTGGGGTTTACATGTTGAGTCTCTGTGCTTAATGCAGGATAAACACCTGGTTGAGGTTTACATGTTGAGCCTCTGTGCTTAATGCAGGATAAACACCCTGGTCAGGGTTTACATGTTGAGCCTCTGTGCTTAATGCAGGATAAACACCTGGTCGGGGTTTACATGTTGAGCCTCTGTGCTTAATGCAGGATAAACACCCTGGTTGGGGTTTACATGTTGAGCCTCTATCCTTAATGCAGGATAAACACCTGGTCGGGGTTTACATGTTGAGCCTCTGTGCTTAATGCAGGATAAACACCTGGTCGGGGTTTACATGTTGAGCCTCTATGCTTAATGCAGGATAAACACCTGGTCGGGGTTTACATGTTGAGCCTCTGTGCTTAATGCAGGATAAACACCTGGTCGGGGTTTACATGTTGAGCCTCTGTGCTTAATGCAGGATAAACACCTGGTGGGGGTTTACATGTTGAGCCTCTGTGCTTAATGCAGGATAAATACCCTGGTCAGGGTTTATATGCTGAGCCTCTGTGCTTAATGCAGTATAAACACCTGGTTGGGGTTTACATGTTGAGTCTCTGTGCTTAATGGAGGATAAACACCTGGTCAGGGTTTATATGCTGAGCCTCTGTGCTTAATGCAGGATAAACACCTGGTCGGGGTTTACATGTTGAGCCTCTGTGCTTAATGCAGGATAAACACCTGGTGGGGGTTTACATGTTGAGCCTCTGTGCTTAATGCAGGATAAATACCCTGGTCAGGGTTTATATGCTGAGCCTCTGTGCTTAATGCAGTATAAACACCTGGTTGGGGTTTACATGTTGAGTCTCTGTGCTTAATGCAGGATAAACACCTGGTCAGGGTTTATATGCTGAGCCTCTGTGCTTAATGCAGGATAAACACCTGGTCAGGGTTTCTATGCTGAGCCTCTGTGCTTAATGCAGGATAAACACCTGGTCGGGGTTTACATGTTGAGCCTCTGTTTTCAAGTTTTAGTCGGGTGGCACAATGATAAAATACTTACCTTTCTACTTATCTAACTAGTAATATAGCATCACCTCTCACGAGTACGATCTGCAGTGTCACCACGACAACCAAGTGTTTTTTTCTAAATGAATATTATACAATCCTGTACCTATATTAATTGGGAAATTATTCTAACGTTTTCTTTAAAATTGGGAAAACAATTATGATTGTTTCTACATATGGGGAAAATAGCAAAGTATTGGGCAGGGAATACAACCTGTTTTTGACTGTAAAACAAGACAAAAAAGTCTCTAGCAGCTGCATAGGTTATCCTCATATATTCTAGCTTTTCCTTAGGCCCTTCCATTCAGACTAAAAAGTGGAATCATCACCTTCCACTCTGGCCAACACGTGTGATTTATCAATACAAGCTATCATGATCATAACTTGTCTGTGTTGATTTGAAAAATATCTAAAACAGCAATCACTATCACCACTAACAGAAGGAACGTTACCGTGAGGCGACTGAATGGCTATAAATGTTGGTCCTCGTTTCTCGTCCTTATAGGCAGAAAGTATCCTCTGGATGGTACGATGGACCTGGCGTACATCCTTCTCCAGCTTGATGTCAAAAGTGTGGTGAGAAGGCGGTAACATTTCCTCAGCAGCACCCTTGGTAACCCTGAATTATACAAAGTAAATTAATATTTGAATTCTAAAAATTGGGAAGGAACTATCTGAAAACAGTTAGGGTTAATGTTATAATGTCTATCTACTCCAATAGTTGTCTTGACAGTACCACATATAGAATACAATTTTAAGCAGGAAACATACTACAGATATATGTGATTTATTTTAGAGTCCTGAGATCACGTAAATGTTTTACTGGAATAGGTCTTCTTGGAAACCTTTATTTTGTCTCTATTGACTGGATTTATAATTTATAAAATATTTAGGAATATTTGAATTTGTGGAAGCAACAATTAGCACAATCATATGTTAGCATAAAAACTTTCTGTATGAAAAATGCTAAACAAGATAACAGTGAAAATATATACATTAACAGTAATTTGAAAAGTCAGATCAGAGTTTCACCCCATCCTAAATTACCTGTTAGAACACCTCTTATTTTCCATGAGCATATTAAGGAGTCTGTATGTTCATCTCTCTTTTATTTATATTTTTGCCATGATTTTTATGAAATCTGAGTTTGAATTAAGATTCTATTGACAAGAATGTATTCTCTCTGTCATTTGTTAACTTTCTAAAGACTATCATGAAATATCACTAAAAAGTTGATTTTGATAATGATACCTATGTAAATCTTTATTTTAA